ATGCTGGACTGTACCAATCGTAAACTGAGTTCACTGCAAGATTCTGCTGCTTTCCATCACCTCAACTAGGACAGAGGTCTTCCTAGTGCCAGTAGTCTAGTGCAAGAACGCTTCTATAGCAGGATTATGGAGGCTGCTAGTGCATCCCTTACAGTGAAAAATTCTCTCAGGGGCTGAAAGATGAGGCAGTACAGATTCTGTACAGTTACTCTGCTAATAGGATCCATGTCACCAGTAAAAGCACAGCCTGTCTAGTTTGTAAAGGTTGAGCAATTCAGATCCTAGCTGGACCAACTAGATTTTAGGCTTCTCTCCACAATAAATTTTACTGCACAGGAAGGTCAGGAAGAGAGGAGTTGGAAACAACAAGTGCAGCCACCGATTCTCCTTTATCCCATCTTTTTTTTTTTTTACATTGCTCAACACTTATGCCTGATTTAGATAGCTACGATTCTCCAGACCTAAGCAGACACACAAACATTCAGACACAGAGGTAACATTAAAGACCTGGCAAATGAAAGACTAGACTGTGCAGCAGAGTGAAAGCTGAATGCCAGGCCAACACTTGCTCACTTCTTCATTTTGTCTCATGAAAGCAGCACAAGGCAAGCCCAGACTCCATTCACACCCCAGGGAAAATAGCAGTGGGGACACTGTCTAACCTCTCCCGTGAATGAATTCTCTCACCCCATGGTAGAAGCCTTCTTTTTTGGTACAGGGGGATAATCTACATCTCCTCACCACACCAGCATGGGTGACTGTAGGTTGGATTGGTGACCTGTGAGAACATAACTGCTTTTATCCTCTCATGAGGATTTTTTAACTCACAGATCAATGACCCAGACATATTGGGTAGCATAGCTTCCAAAGAAATTCCTCATGACCGAGCTCCTAACAATACATCCAAATGTCACAAAAAGTCAGTAAGTACTCTGAAGACTCAAGTGCACATTCTGGTCAGCAATACTAGGAACTTCTGGTTTTAGTATCCACTACAAAAAGTCCTAAAATGTCAGCATGTTTCAAAGATTTTACCATTTTTTTTTAGTCTCTGGCTCACAAAATCTCTGATTTAAAAAAAAAAAAAAAAAAGAGATAAAAAAAGACCCATCCCTTCCACATTGCATTTATTTCCTAATAATAGCCCATGCTCATGCCAAAATCCATGCGAGAAGGCTTAGGAGCCTTCTGCTAGAGTCCTCTTACAAAATTCCTCCCTTGTAGCTTCCTTCTGGACTGAAATTTGCCACCTGGGAACAACCCATGAAGACTGCTTCGGAGGCTTGAGGAACAGAACAGCTCACTGGGGATGCACAATGAGCAAATACCTTGGTTTATGGCCAACTCCTATGTAGTCTTCTGTCAATCCTAGCAGTGTGAACGCCTTAGAGTGATAAACTCCTCTGTTCCACTGTACAGCACTTGGCACAATGGAGCTCCATATGATGACTAGAGGTCCTGGGCACCACAGAATACGGGGGTTTAGCCTTAGTCGTATATATCTGAAGAGACAAATGGAACAAGAAAGGATGAAGAAGATTTATTCCAGATTTTTTTCCTTCTATGACAGGAAGGTTCTGTGTGTTATATCATTTGATGATGTCACTGATAGAAGAGAAAGCTGTCTTCAGAATATAGAAATGTATTTTGTAACAAGTTTGAATTAAATGGAACTGTGATTGCTCCATATGTACAATGACTAATGAAATGCCTTCACTAATGCTCGATGAAAATAAAAAGTGCCACTAATGAAACAAGAAATCTGTTAAAGTAACAAGCTTAGAAAGCAGAGAAGATAAATATACTTGGATAATAGATCTTCCAGAGCGCACAGCAGGGGGACACAATCAAACAGCCAGTACAGTTACTATGAATTCACCAGAGAGGCTCAGAACAAATGAAGTATCTTCCAAAAGTAGATATGATATAGAGGAAAAGTCATCAAAAAGATTAAAATACAGGTATACTGGTGTGGTACAGGGCAGGATAGGCATTAGACTGTGTATTTATAGTCTGATTAACATATGAATTAAGCTGTGTGTGAAATAAACTACACAACATGTAATGCTTTTAGGAAATATGAATCAGAGCCTGGAAACATTTACTCATGTAAGCCATGAGTAGCAATGTTACTCATGAGTAGAAGCCAGTCACACTAGTAAGGATTTAGGCAGTCTGACCATTCCTACTGGAATATGGACAGTAATAACAGCGATATTAATTTTAAAGTTATTCTCATCATAATGAAAGAAGTTTAACTCTGAGCTTGTCCATGGCACCTGCTGATTCTTTAGATCATTTTTAAATTCAAGAATGCAAGTTCTCTCAGGCTCCTCCTTTGATGACATAGGTTAATAGTCCAACTTCTTTTTCAAGTGACACTGACTTTCCTTTGACTTTAATGAGCATCATACCGCCTTAGTACAACTGAATAATATACATGCCTAATGGTTTTCCTGTGGCAATACATTTTCTGATTTGTTATGTACATGCCCTCTTATCCTGTAATAGACACTTCTTCGTTATTTAAAATAATAATACCTGTGCTTCTAATGATATTTGGTCTACTTGGAGAATACAGAATTAATTTATTCAGGAAAGTGAGCTGACAGAAGCTTCAAGAAACTCCAGATGGGAGAGAAAAATATTCATATAGTCTTCTAATGATATTTGGTCTACTTGGAGAATACAGAATTAATTTATTCAGGAAAGTGAGCTGACAGAAACTCCAGATGGGAGAGAAAAATACTCATATAGTATTATTTTGGAAAACACAGCTGATGTGCACTACATGCTACTTGCACAGGACTACAAATAAGACAGTCCAGGACCAAGGTTCAGGTACTTGTGAAGTGATAAAATTAAAGCTGGTTAGTGAAGATGCTCTGGGCATTCATGAGATTGAAAAGGCATTAGAAGCAATGGCAACATCCTCTCTCTCACTTGGTCTTCCATAGATTCTAATTTTGGCATTTTGTTCTTTTAAGTCATCTTGTCTAAGATTGTACTTTGCAAAACTTAACAGTAAATTAACATGATTTTGGGATCTGTGTGCTTGTTATATAAATATCCAATTAAATGTAACGCTGGGCTTCTGCTACTTCATGTGAAAAAATCCATCCAGAGAAAAGTATGCAAGAGTGCCAGGGATGCAGAGGTGTTTTCCCCTTTAGATACTAAGTTCTTTAACTAAGTGCCTGGAATATCCTAACTGCGTTCTCTGTGACTGCAGGAAGAACTGAACTTATAGAGATTATCTGACAGCTTACTGAAGTATTCATATTTTACTGTGCTGACCTCTGAGGTCTGACATTGTAGGTTTATTTAGAATGTACTAGATGTCCTGAAAGGCTGTAATTCATTTCAGGATTGGTTCCTTATGCCCATTATCTGTGTTGGCGTTTGTACAGAGTGTTTTAGTTGTTATTGATTTTACCCTCTTCTACTCCCACTCCCCATACTTTGTCAAGATACTTTAAAAACTTACAGCCCGTTACGGGAAATGAAAAGTTGTAATGCACAGGATCAGGAAAATCCCCACTATATTATATACATAGATACAGATATGATCATTTTGGTAAGACCTATATCTACAAATGCCAATTTATTATTAATATGGCAATGATGGTAGAAACTCAAGAGGTGCAGCTAGTAAACTACTGCAGTTTTCACTGATACCAATGGAAGCTGAGTTTGTACAACAGAAGGCTAAATTAGAGCAGTTTTTCTGTTAACTGAAGAAAAATGAAAGATTATCACATCATGTTTTACAGGGGTGTGTTTTCATTTTGGTTATAACACAGAATCTAAAGCACTAAGTAAACACTATCTCAAATAATTTTTCCCAAAATGTTCAAGGATTATTTTCCCATTTTGCTACCAGTCTTTGAGAGAAAAACTTATAAAACATGTAAATTTAGTAGGATTATATATAGTTAGGACAAGTACATCTTTCTTGAAGTAGAAAGTTGACAGCTGATTTTTCATTACTCTCACTGCAGCAAAGTTCATACATGAACTGCTCCAGCATGTAAGAGGGGCCAGTTTGAGTACTGCAGGTAATAACTTGCTCGTCTGTTTTATGAAAAGCCGCAAGTTAAATTTTTGAGTTAAAATGTTGAGTGTCTCCAACACAAGAATACAGGGGAAAATCTGTTGGGAATACCAGTGAAAAGTTCAGGGAAAAATACTGGAGAAATAGTCTTAATAAAACTTCTCTTTCAGTCTCTTGAACAATTGTTTTCTTTTAGTATGGAGGGAAAGCCTAGAGTAAATTACCTGTTTGCTTGCTTAATGTGCTCTAATATGAAAAAAATTATAGACTTAAATCTTATGCAAAAGCTTTCTCTTCTCCCTCAAAAGGGCTTGCTCCAAGGATTTGTCTTCATTAACTGTAGAGAGCAGTGACATATTTTTGCATTCCTGTGGACTGCAGCAAATTGTCCCTCTTGGCTGTCATTGTTTCCTACGGAAGCAACAATGGCTTCCATTTATCACAAGCTGACACCACATGGCATGCAAAATTACGTTTCACACTGCAGCATCCAAAGAGATGGTGTAAATAAAAACCATTTACGTAAAACACTTAGCAACCAGCAAAAAAAAAAAAATGGTTTGAAAAATGAAGTACCTTTTCATGAATCACAGTGACTTCTGCTTCCAACCAGCAGCTCTGAAAGTGTTAACTAACTTAAAAAACATCTTACAGAATGTATAGAAAGAATCAAGAGGCTGATGCTCCAGTGAAATTTCACCATCAAAAAAGGTTCTGAAAAACATATAATTTTCTAGAGACATCAAAGCATGATGCAGCTGTTGGTACGTCAAAGAAGTATTGTGTTCCCTCCAACAATTCACTGGTGTCAGCTTGTGTTTGATGTTATTGATATTAGAATAAGCAAATGCACTGGCCTAACAGCGACTCTAGGTTCTTTTTGTTTCAGTTGCTGACAGTGGTATCAGCATCTGCATGTTTTTGTGTACAGTAGGTAACCCCCCACTCATCTATCGAAGGCCATTTCATTGTAGGATATAAAGAGCTCCTCCCCAGCAGGGCAGCCAACATCCACTTCAGTTGTCTGAGAAATGCCTGAACTTTTGTGTCCTCTCACAGGAATTGTGGGGTATGCCTTGGCTATTTCTCTGACGTCTGGTTTTGATAAGTGATTTTCAGAGTCTACTGTCTCCTAGGAATTCTGCAGGAAGAGACTGAGTGAGGTCATTCGGCTTTTCACTGAGTTTCCTTTCTCTGTTTTTGGCCGTTCTAGTGAACATGACCCTCTAGCATTCAGGAATACTTCTGCTCCCTTAGGAACTATCGACCACTTGCTGGTTTTATCTCTGCACACACAAAAGCTCCATGTCGCTGGAAGGGGAAACAAGGTTGACATTAACCAGGGGAACATAAGCAGCTCGTAGATGCAGCTGTGAGCTGAGTTCATTTATTAGCTCAAATGCTGGCAAAGCTTACACTTGTTTCTCGGCCTCTCTACTGGCCATTAGCCTAGGTCCAAATAGCTGAAGGCAATGGAATAATAGCTGGTTTGTCAGCCCATTTTATTCATGAAATGGGGCACGGCAGGAATACTTGGAAAGAAGCAACAAGTAAAAGAAAATGCATCTTATTTTCTCTGGTTCACAACCACTCTGCCTCAGAGAGTGTGTGACTTGCATACGGCTCTTCTGTACAAGACTATTCATATCAGATTTCATTTCTTGCTGCATGGGTTGCTATGGATACAATTCTGAACTGCTGCTTTTGTAAGCCAGGAGATTTATGACTGCATCCCGAATGATTTTGCTCATCAGGGTCACACAAGATTTTTTTTTTTTTTTTTTAAATAAACAGAAGTGGAAACAAACATACCACCCTGCATTTCTCAAAATACTTTTCACAACTGAATCCTGTATTGTGGATGTTCTTGAAGTCTGTCAGAGTCTGTGGATCAGTCCCCTATTTATACTAAGTTACTGATTTATAAGAAACGCATAACCATACAAACTCCTACAAGCCAAGGCCTGGCAGAAAACAGACCCTTATGCATTAGCCCTTGTTCTCATCTTACTCATTCCAGCTTTTTAACACGCAAAGACAGTTGGGTTCAGTGAAGTCACAACATAAACAGACTCTTTAGAAATCCAAATCATGTGACTTATGATGAGGTTACTGTTTATCAAAACTACAGGAAGCCTGGGTGCTACAATACACACAAATACAAAATGGAGCATGTACAAGTAATACAAAAGAGCACGTCATTAATATTAACTGCTAGCAATTCTAAATCATCTGACAACAAATCTTCATATTAAACAGACAGTCGGAAGTTCTAGGATAAACATGCTCCTCCACCTTCCTGGATGCTATTAATCATACAGGATGCACATTGTCTTACCTTAATGGGTTCATTAGCAGTCTCTGGCGTTGTAGCGATGGCTAAAGCAGGTCTGTTCCTGTAACATCTCTGGAAGACCTTTGGATGCTCTAGGAGTTGCAAGTGCAACTGAAAAATACAATATTGTTAGGGAGCACTTGTACTACATGATCCAAGGTAGCCCACGCAAGCATGCTACATGCTGCACAAAAGATAAGCGGTAGCTGCTCTTCTTGAACTGCTCAAGTTACCTTGCCAGACAAGTGAAACCACAACACTTACCAGAAGGGGAAGTGGGCACTGTGAGTTGGATATTCAGCTGTGCTTGCACGTGTCACCCCAATGCAAGGTTTTGTTGAGGGACAGCATTGCTGAAGTGGCTTCAGAGCAGTGGTTTTACTGGGGTCAGGATAAGGCCAGACTGGCAGATTTTGGAAAAGCATTTAAGTGTAATCACTTTTAAAGTGCAAGACAGAAAAGGCCTGTCAGATCACTTGGCAGGTGCATGAATATTTCTTACGGTATCTTTCTTCTTGTTTTCCCAGGGACATTTTACCTCTTCACATTACCCGTCCCCTCTGCAGGACAGTTTAGAAACTGTACCATCAATGATTCAGTACCAGTTGCCACTACATCTTTATCAGCAGTCTTCCAGGCAATTTTCCATCCATTAATACAACAGTATTGCCCTCTAAATGAACCTGAATAATTTTCACTGTTAATATTTAATGAAACACAGACTGACCCATTACACTGAACCATGACACATCCAGGCACAAGAGGAAGAAAACAAGTATCAAGCACAATTTAAATACTGTGTATCGAATTCTCCAAAGTGACCAGCAATTTTGAATTTTCAGCTTGAGATATGGCATAAAACCAGATCCACTGGCGGACAAGTGCTCAAAGCTCTCTGAAAAGCAGGGCTGCTTAAAGCCTTTCAAGTGGGTCAGGCTGTCTCACTAATCACTGTTGAAATGTAGGCCACTGCACTTCCATTTGCACAGCAGTAGCACAGCTAAGTTGTTAGAGTCACCAGGACACAAAACCCTCAAATAAACCCTGAATGTGGGAGCAGAGCTGGAACAGAGTAAATTTACAGTTGGCATCCCTACGATACAACTAGCAGCACATGAACAGATGCTGACTTACTGTTATGCAGTTGCTGGACCAAGACCTGTATGTGCTGAAAGATCCCATTCTTGTTGAAAAATACATATGATAATGATATTCCATTAATACGTTGAGAGGTATCTATTATTAGCTAAGTGACTAGATAATTATTAACTTCAAAACAGCATGTTTTCTCAAAAAACACGTAAAAGAATCATAATTGGCCTACATCAAGTTCTCTGCTGCTATAGCCAGACCACCCCTAGTAACTGAACCGCCTAGTTTAAGGACATTTATTTTGGTAACATGCACCATCATACAGAAATAGTGGTCCCTGGGCCCCATATAGCAGCAAAGGCCAGATGGGGTATGTAAGTCCTTACGTCTGATAACCTCAAGTCCTTTGTTAGAGTAATAGCAGAGGAAACAAGATACACCACTGAGAAGACAGGGAAACAGAGGTCAACACTGATCCTCAAGGTCAACACAACTGACAGCCTGCGCTTGAGTGCTTGGCTACCAGGCACAGCAGGCTAAGAGGGAACGCCTATGCAGACCACTAAGTGAAATGAATTTCCCAGTCTTTTCGCAAACTAGTCACCTCAATGAGGTTGTAATTAACACGGAGCAGGTTGCTCTATTCGCATATGGCTAGTATTGAGAAATATACTGAAGACGTTAATATGCTGGAAGTGGTTAATTAGTACTAATATGATTCTGAAGATAGAGCACATCTACATTCAAGTATAGTGCTAGCAGTTTTGGGCCACTCATCTTCTACTCAGCAATTCTAGAGCAATCCTGGGCAATGATATCTAAAAGCTCACACCTTGGTTTCACTAGCTACAGAAGGGGAATAGCAATACTTACTTACAGTCTGGAAGTGCAAATATAACTTTTGGGGTTCCTACAAAAGTGCACGCACATATCGATTTGTAGCTGTTCATGGAGTCCTACAAGCTTGAAGCAGGCCTGGAGCTAGCCGCAACTTTCTGTGCAGAAGCGATACACATCTAGAATTAATACTCCTTTAGTTGTATAGAGAAGGAAGTGTTTATTTTGGTAGAACTATGAATTGCCTATCTAATTCCTGATGACAGTCTTTAAAAACTCAATCTAGATATGCAATTGAGGAAGACCTTATAAGTGAAAAACAAAATTAGATGGAAATTCTAGTTCCCAATTTTCATATTGGAATACAGAGGTAAGAAGCACGTTCCTATCAGCCGTAGTAGTAGCTACGTGTACAACACTGCTATCAGACTCTGCTTTTGCTGCATGGAAAATGCCATTCTTTAGAGACAAGGTGGAATCTGAATTGCTCAAAACCACATGTGAATAATGCCATTGTTGAAATTTTGAGTGTGCATGTGGTTCACATAAAAGTAGTGAGGATTTTTTCCTCAGTATCTCAACACCTGCACAGAAGATCAAAACTATTTTCTTAATAAATTACTCACAAAGTAAGTTTTGTTAGCTTTTGAATACATTATCTATCCTAATACATTTCAGCACATTAGTTTTGCAAATTAATCTTCTATTAAAAAAAGACATTAGTTCTCTCAGTGGCATTAGTTCTCTCTCTTTTTTAGGCATCAGAAATCTTTTCATAATGTATTATGTAAATATTCCAGTAGAGAGCCTTAGTAAGTTAATATTTCCAATAAATAACTAAAAAACCTGTGTACATGACTGAAAAGGAAAAAAAAAACAAATTTGGCTCTCTGCTTTCCTTTCACAACACTACAAGTCATCTTAGGAAGAAGCCTGAATCTTTGTCTTCCAGCATTCTGACATTTCACTCTATACATGTACAAGTTTTGCATGATGAGGATCGTACGGGTGGTCAATACACATCCCCGAGACACTCCAATGATATCACTGCAAACATTTCCAGAGTTAAAATGCTAATCCAGTAATTTCCCTAAATTTAATGTGTGTGTTGGAGAATGATTTGATATGTTCATTATTTTCAGCTAGAGGAATTAGCATTGCTGCAGTGATTTGAATGATTCTGCCCACTGTGTCTCACAGTTGCAAAGGTTTTTTGGCTGCAAAATTAAAAGCTTGGCAGTTGCTCACAATTTAGGGAGTGAAAGAGTGCATTTTTTAGAGCTCCATACTGAGATTATCCAAAAGGACTGGCCTGGCTGTGACACAGAAAGAAGTCTGTGTCTCTCTAACAACCTGCCTGTGTGTTTTTCAAATGGGGTCACACAACACATATATGCAACACCCATTGCAGGATGAGTATTGCTGGTGTTGATGCTTCAGGAAGGATGCAGTGATCCTTCACTGCCTGGATCATAATAAGCTGGTGAAGGGTCTAGAGCACAAGTCTGGAGGAGCAGCTGAAGTAACTGGGGTTGTTTAGTCTGGAGAAAAGGAGACTGAGGGAAGACCTTATCGCTCTCTACAACTACCTGAAAGGAGGTCATAGCAAGGCGGGTGTCAGTCTCTTCTCCCAAGTAACAAGCGATAGGACAAGAGGAAATGGCCTCAAGTTGCGCCAAGGGAGGTTTATACCGGATATTAGGAAAAATTTCTTCACCAAAAGGTTTGTCAAGCACTGGAACAGGCTGCCCAGGGAAGTGGTTGAGTCACCATCCCTGGAGGTATTTAAAAGACATGCAGATATGGCGCTTAGGGACATGGTTTAGTGGTGGACTTGGCAGTGCTAGGTTAACGGTTGGACTTGATGATCTTAAAGGTCTTTTCCAACATAAACAATTCTATGATTCTATGATCAAGCAGCTTGGCTCCAGTGTTGGTGGTTCAGGGAATTGTAGATAGCTGGGGAACTTGCAGAATATTTTAGTGGTGGCTTCTTCATATATTAAAAATACTCTCTTCCAGCAGCCTTTAACTTATCACCTCCCTGGGGAATATATACCTCTACTGGATGCAGCAGAAGTCAGTAGGGTCTTGGCAAAGAGAAATCTTATCGCTGAAGTTTGAAAATTATATTAATCTGCTTGTGCAGCAATATGCAACTAGTTTGACACTTTACAAAAAAAAAAGCCTACAAAACAGATGGGTTCGGTAGGTGCAGGGCATCTCTAAAAATCAGTTCAAAGAGCTTGCATTCCAGCTGAGCAACTTAACAAAACTAGATCTAGCTGTTAAAATACCTCTAAGGAGTTGGGTTAAAAAGAGGGGGAATCCTTATAAGCCTCAGCAGGCAATAGCCCATGCAGCCAAGTCAGCACATAAACCAGCACCAGCTATTGTTTTATTGGATTCCTTTTCAGGGGGGAGCGCTGAGCAGGGAGGAATTTTTATGCATATATGCATACACAAAAGGACTATTTTTTCATCTATGTAAAGTCAAAACATACTGGAACCATAAATTACATCCTGGATAAGTGTTCAGAGTTTATATCCTTTTAAGGAATACAGCCTAAAGTTAGCACCCCACTTCCAAGGTATAATCTTCCATCACTGTTAGATGCTGCTGGCTGATCGCAGCCAGACAACTGGCTCAACACCAAGATCACAAATGTGCCAACATATGGAAACAATTGCTTTCCTTTTGATTGGAAATGACATATTCTGGGTGTGTGCACAACATCCCCCATCAATCATCCAAAATGGTTCATTATTTGGACTTAAACTTATTATCCAATAGAAGATCCCTAGAGCCTTGTGTGAAGGGTAGGAAAGATATTTACACACCCCAGAAAGCAAAAGAGCCTCTGCGTGGTGATAGCTTGTCTGAGCCACGCTGCATCCTGACCAGGCTTGATTCCTTCTCTGTACAAGGTTGTATTTCACGCACCAGCATTGATGTTGCTCAGCTTAATGCAAAAGCAGCTAGATCTTGAAATTATACCTGCATAGTAAGGCTGTGCCGGCTGCTAATCACCCCTGGGACTCCAGAAAATCTCCACACATTGGCAGTCTCAGCAAGAGAAGTGAGGGGAAAGTTTAACAGTGAATATTTGACCATAGATTACATGCTTTGACACCAGTAACAGCCCATCTGTCTCAATGAAGTTGCAATGGCAGAAGGCCTGCAACACAAGGAAAAAATCAAGAGGATTTTTGTTGAACCCGCGTGGCTGATCTGGAGATAGAGAGATCAGGAAGGCAAATTCCTGCCGAGAATGCAAGGAAAGGGTTCAAACAGTTTTCTGGGCTCATATGGCAAAGAATAGTGAGGGGAAACAAAGGCAAATAACTTCCTAAAGAATTGCCAGTATAAGTGAAAAGACAGGAGAGGTCTGTTTTTTAAATCAGTAAATACTAGTGATGGTGGTACTTTGGGATATATTTTTGGAGTTACTCTGGGCAGAGGCCCTATGCATCCCAGGAACAGGCCCACAAACTGAAAATGAAATTGTAGCACAGTGGAGGTGACAGTCCATTTTTCCATTGCTTTCAATAAAGCCAGGGGTTCACGTGAATGTTTGAAGTCTACTGGTGGTAGGACTATTTTGTGTTAATGTAAATTCTGAAATTAGTTCTTCTATGGATTATAGAAAGAGAGAGGCTTTCACACGGAGGAAAAGTAGGCAGAAGCACATCCAGCTGTAACGTACAGCAGACAGAAACCATCAATGGGGCTTTTTGGCAAGAGGAAGAAAATTATGATGGTTAAGGTCCTACATGGGAAATCAAGAGAAACAGACTCAATTCCCACCTCTGTATGGCCTTCCTACAAGAACAAACACAAGTCTCTTAAAGGCAGATTTTCAAATGTATTTAGGCACTTGAAGATGCAGACAAGCACCAGGTAGGATTTACAAATGCATCTATGCAGGCTAGATGTTTATCAGCACCTGTTTGTGTCCTTTGGGTCCCCATTGGCAAGAAGATTACAGATGTCATCTATTCAGGTCACAGCCAAATTCTACCTTCAGTCCTACGCCCAACATTTCCATGTAAGTGAAAGAGAGAAGTGAGCTCATATCTAAGGATGGGACTTAGCCCCAAGTAGAATAGGAAAAAGGATTTGCTGCATGACAAAAATAGGCCGAGTGCCTTGTCACATCTGACAAATGCCTCAGATGGCATAGCACAGATTTGTGGTGATGCTATTAAAATAGATTATATTTCCACTGAATAAACTGAGTTCTTGTCACAGGTAGGTTGGTAGCCACTTTCTCACTGGCAGTGAAAAGGGGTCTCAACATCAGTGGGTATCAGGGAACGAACCCTTGTACGGTTTTGAGAATTCGTTCCTAATGCAACCCTTCACTGCCATTTGTTGATGAGCTCTTCCAGGCTGGATTCTGCGGGCCACAAAGCTCCTCATCCACACTTACTCACAAGAGCTGCTCAAATGAAAGGAGATAAAAAATACTGCAGTCATTTAGAGCACAGGTTGCAAAATCAGGCCCTTTCTTGCTAAAAGCAGGGTGTGATGATCTGCCTGGGTTTGGATGTTTTCAGTCGTATAAAATAAAAGTAGGTCAGACCCTCAACTAATATACATTCATAAAGTCAATGGCCGCTGCTGCGGACAAGGATCTAGGCAGCAGCTCTGATCACTGCTGCTGCCTGCTAACTAGTGGTTAATTTGTGTTCCTTTACAGTCTTTCTGCATTTATCTTTTGTAAACAGAAAGGCCACATTAACAAATAACACTCGAGGAACTGTGTTTTAGTTGTGAATATAAACTGTGATGAGTCACACCAAACCCACAAGACAGCTGATGAGAAACCAGCTTGCTTCTCCTATACTAAAAGCTGACCGCCCAGATGAAAAGATCATGGCTTCTAACTGATTTTGGTTTGAAAAACCAGAAGTGGGCAATTACGTTTTTCAGCAGATACTGCTCTGGCGCAGGAGAAATATTTGTTGATCTGACTCTAGCTGGCAGACAGGCAGTTGTTGGGTGTGTACCACACAAAGAATACTTTCATTTTTTGGCATAGTATAGCATTGCTGAAATACCAAAGACCATGGCTAATTAAGTGGAGTGATGGAACAGAATGATTTGATGATAAGATTTAATTGGTATGAACATTCTCATAGACTAGTTATTGTATCTGTCTGGGAGGGCCAGACGTTCAGCTGTGTTAAGCATTGCTCAACTGTAGCTGAGGGGGTAAAGGGCACAAGGGTGCCCTGTACTCGCTCTCGGTCCTGGGACTGCTCAGCAGTTGGGTCTCAGGGTGCAATTTAGATTAGATTATGCCAGTCTTCTGTGGCCCCAGCCTGCCGTCACAGTAGCTGACAATCAGCAGGATCAGTCATAACCCCTTGCCCCTGCCATGCCCCCACGCTGACTGTTGGGAAATGGAGTTACATGGGAGCTACTACAGCAAACCTGCACTGCCCAGAGACCATTCCATGAAGAGCAGGACTGCTCAAGCTCCTTCACACCAATTGATGTGATCCAGGATCCAACCATTAACTGTGTAAATGCTGTTGCTTTCAGTTGATTATTTCGATTCTTTCATAATAAAGCTGATTATCTTAACTTTCTCAATGGGAAACAGTGCTTGGATAAACCACTTGGAACTTAATAGAATGATACTTGTTCCATAGCTTGGCTAACACAATGAAACATGTTCCCCCCAATATTTTCTATCTGTACTTCCATGGAAGCTTTCCACAAGTCTCTCATTTGGGGCTCCAGCACTACCAGTTTAGTACAGTCTGCAGTCTCCAGGCATACAAAGTCTATTTAAGGGCTCCCACAAGGCCAAAAATCACTGATCAAAGCCATGGAGCAATGACCAGGGTCATATTAGGACCAGTGAAATGGTATTGCCAAGGGGAAGGGCTTGCATTTCAGAGCATTCTCCTTCCTTGGACATGGATGGATGATCGCAGCATTCTGCTACAGGCCGCTTCCATCTGCCTTGACGCATGGCCAACATCAAACAGGCAAGAGAGCCAAGATCCTT